AATGTATATCTGCATATGTTACTCTTCTATATATCTGCATGTGTTGTTATTTAATGAATATCGTGGATGGTTTGTTGCAATTATTTTGGGGTGTTACAGGGGATATTTACCCGGCCTTCTTCGGCAAGAACATAGATTAGGTTATTATCAAGATCTTTAGACATACAGTGCTTGGAAAGGTCAAAAGAATCATCGGGATAGAAATCAAGAATAAAGTAATCTTCTCTCTTCAATCTCTCTCATATTAATGTTCTAGATCTAACTAAATGTCTTCATCAAAGTTCATCAATGGCTCACCATCTTTGAATCAGATCTGAAGCGAAGTCAAGGCAAATAAGCGATTTGGCGACAAAGGTGGTCTCCATGCTGTCGTCAAAAACCTCACGAGATCTTATGCTGGCGACAAAAACATTAAGAGATCTAGATCTTGATGGAGGTTAGAAGGAGGATGAAGAGAGAGTTTTCATCAACGATGAAGCAATGGAGATGAAAGAGAGAGACTACCGACAATGATTTCATCATCGCTGGCTGACGGCGATAGTGAAGCGACGGAGCTCTGACGCTGGCAAAAGGAGATCGGTGGCGATGAAGGAGACACATATACACACACAGACACACACACAAAGATTGAGGGTTTTAGAAAGAGAGAAACCGAGATGAAAAAGAGAGGAAGAGAGAGAAAGATACGTGATAGTGTTTGGTCATTTTGTAATACTTTGTCCTTATGAACAAAGTATTTTAAAGTATGGATTTTTAGATAAACAAAGTCCAAAATTAGATTTATGAACCGAAAGCCCAATATAATCTATAAAAATACAAAATTCTTTTCTTATATTAAGATGAGTTTGGTAAATTAAACTTTACTATCTATATTTGATGATTTTTTTACTTCAATCCTTTAAATTTGTTTTTTTTCACTTTAACTTTTTATATTTCAAATCTTTCTCATTTTACGTCTAAAGTTAAATTCTATTCAAAATTAAACAAAAAATGATATATTAACATTTACGGACCATAAAAAGTTATTTCAAAAGTTTTATTTAAAATTCTTTTCTTATATTAGGGTAAGTTTGGGAACTCCATATAATGGTTAAAAATTTTATGATGTGACTTAAATAAGATGATGTGACTTAAATAGGATAGTGACTTTTTGACTTTTTGTCTTTTTTTAATCATGCCAAACTTGGCCTAACATTTATGGACCATAAAAAGTTATTTCAAAAGTTTTATTTAAAATTCTTTTCTTATATTAGGGTAAGTTTGGGAACTCCATATAATGGTTAAAAATTTTAAAAATTATTTAAAAAAATCAAAAAGTTAAAAAAAATTATATAAAAAAGTTAAAAATTATTTTCTTCTCTATTTTTTACATATTTTTTTTAAAAACTAAAAAATCATTTAAAACATACTAATTTTTGTATCTCATATTTTAATAAAAAAAAAATACTAATAAAATAGAGAAATTGACCAATAAGTCTCATATTTTGCATTTGTAATCCATATAGTCCCATATTGTTTCTTCTGATCCATTTAGTCATTTTAAATGTGTAATGACTCATTTGCCAGCCATATTGGAGTGTCACATTTGGAAGAAAAAAAAAATACACTAAATAATTTTTTAATGTCACACCATACCCGTCACATTAGTGTTATATTTAGAAAAAGTACACTAAATTTTTTTTTTAATTTTTTAAGAGTGTCACATTATACCTGCTACATTGGAGAGTCACATCTGACGTTTAGAAAAAGTATACTAAAGAGTTTTTAATTTTTTTAGAGTGTTACATCATACACGTCACGTTGTTACGTTTGAGAAAAGTACAATAAAGAGTTTTTATTTTTTTTAAAGTGTCACATCATACTCGCCATGTTACATTAGGAAAAATATATTAAAGAGTTTTTATTTCTTTTAAGTAAAAGTTTTGAAGTGTCACGTCATACCCACCACGTTGTCACATTTAAGAAAAGTACACTAAGAAATTTTTAATTTTTTTAGAGTGTCACATCATACCCCTTACGTTGTCACGTTTGAAAAAAGTACAGTAAGGATTTTTTTTTTTTAAGCGTCATATCATACCCGCCATGTTGTCACATTTGGAAAAAGTACATTAAAATGTTTTTTTTTTAAATAAAAGTTTTGGAATGTCACATCATACCCGTTACGTTGTCACATTTAAAAAAAGTATACTACGGAGTTTTTAATTTTTATAGAGTGTCATATCTTTGATGTAATAACCTGACCCTCGCACATGATTTATGTTATATTCTCGGTCCTCGATTGGTACTTTTAAATGCTTACTGTAAAATTCCATGAAAAATTATGATTAAGTAAGTGAAATTTATGTTTATGGATGCCTATCTGTTTCTTAAGAAAACTATCTGTCACCACTAAAACGTTTGAATTAGAAATTGGAAGCCTTAACGGCTTAATTATCTGAAATTGATAATATATTTGTGATCAACATAATTTTCAAGTTATTAAGCATGTTTACGAAATTTCAATTTTGGAATAATTAAACGATTAAATTTTGTCCTATATGTCATTATTTATGAATATATATGCTTAAGTTCTATTGAGCTTTGATAAAAAAAAAACATGAAGCATCTTTTGGAGAGAATAAGGGTTTGAAAATAAGAGGAAAAGAGAACAAAGACAAGGTACAACAAGGAAGAGAATTGGGATCAAGTTAGGAGAATCATTGAATTTTTCAAGCTTAAGGTATATTAAAAATTATTGTACATGAAACTTCTCCTTTTAATTGTGAAGAAGGGCTTGTTTATGATTTATGTTTGGTGATTTAGGGTTATGGAGAATTGTTCATGATTTATGTTTGCTTGAAGAGGATACTCATCAATTGGTTGTTTTGACATGAAATTATGCCTCAATCCTTGTTTCTCATGTTAAACTCATGAAAATATATTTATATAATGTGTGATGTTCTAATAAACTTGAGGAACTTGAATCAAAGATGGAATTTAGAAGGTTTGTAACTTGAATAAGCTTCTTCTCATGTGTATTTTATGATGCTCAAGTTCTAGTACATGCTATGGTGAAATTTATACTTCAATCCTTGGTTTTATGCCATGTACCATGTGTTATGATTTATAAACATAAATAACTTAAGTTAAAGGATGGAATTTGGAAAAAAAATAGTGACTTGATCAAGCTTTGAATCATGTTACTTTGTGATATTCAAATGGTAATTCATGTTATAGTGAAGTTGGATCCATATATTGCATGAATTTCATAGTGAATTGCATGTAAAATGAAGTGGTGATGTGTAATTGTGAGTTGAAACCGAGCTGCCCCAAAACAGGGCCATGGCCGCTCGAGCGGAGGCCTTGGGCGCTCGAGCGGAGAAAGAAGAAAAAACCTGGAGATGGCTACTGTCTACGGCCGCTCGAGCGGAGGGTCCGGCTGCACGTGCGGCCTGGGCTGGGAACATGGTTCGCTTCGTTTTGCATGCTTGACTCACTAGTATTTTTAGAATATTTTTCTGATGATTTTAAGATAGTTGTACATTCATGCAAAGTGTAATGACTCCGGGAATGACTTAAGAAAGAGAAGGGAACTAATGTGCAAGTTTTAATGTGTGCAGGACACACTCCGGGAGGAAGTAACACGTCATCTCAACCCTGTGAGTAGTAGTATTGCCCTTAGCATTCTATTGATGATAATTATGCACATGTTCTTAATGTTAATGCGTGAATGTTCTTAATGTTAATGTATGAACGTTCTTAATATTAATGCATGATGATAAGAAGGTGAACATTTTGCCTACTCTCATAAGTTTCAAGCATGTTTCAAGGGCCTAGTGCCATATGTTTCAAGGGCCTTGTGCCATAAGTTTCAAGCATGTTTCAAGGGCCTCGTGCCATATGTTTCAAGGGCCTAGTGCCATAAGTTTCAACCATGTTTCAAGGGCCTCGTGCCACATGTTTTAAGGGCCTCATGCCATCACGTTTCAAGGACTTATGGCCACATGCTTATGTTGCAGGATTGGGCATAAGGCCATTATGTACTTAACACAGAATCAAACTCACCGTGTGAACTCTGCATCTTATTATGTATTGATGTATTTCATGTTTCAAGTTAAACATCATTTATTATGTATTACTATTCACTGAGCCTAGCTCACTCTCTATTATGTCTGTTTCTGTAGGTCATCAATCTGGAGGTCAGTCTTAGCCTTGATGTCGTCTTCTTTTGTCAACCTTTACGTGTTCAGGCACTATACAAAGCCATTCATTTTGTGAAGTTGTTATGATGTTGGCTTGCTATTTAAGCGTCCATCTAAGGTTGATGTACATAACTTCATGTTTTTTTTGTATACGCCCAATCATGGGGCTGGAACTGTAAATGTATGGGATATAACAGATGTCCAGGGATATAGTTTTAAACTTTGTCTGCCTTTGATGGTGTATGTGATATATGAGATCCTGGCATATTAGAAATAGCTCAATGGAGTAGTTTGTATCTATATTATGTTTGTATTTTATGCTTCCGATAAGGCCCCGTAGGTTATGTATACCAAGTTATACGTCCGTTTCTGAATAGGTCATGCCTAAACTTTTAGGGGCAGGTTTGGGGTGTGACAAGTGGTATCAGAGCATGAGCTGCTATCTCACACACGGATCCATTGAGCTGTAGGGTGTCTAGAAAAGATTTAGACATCATGCATGACATCCTAAAAGTATAAGGCAAGTTCGATGGCAACATTACGTGTACTCTGATAATGCTAACAATTTTGAACTATGTCTATTGTATATAATTGATTGTTGTGTAGGTCATGGTGAGAACAAGGACAGAAGATGTGGAAGATGCTACCTCAGCACGACTAGATAGGATAGAGAGGATGATTATGGAAATGGCGGAGACTCTACATCAACAATAGCAACTGCCTCAACAACAGCCGCCACCGCCATCGGTACCTCCACCAGCAGCACAAGATTTTCATGCTGAAAACCGGACTATTACCCTTACTAAGGAGTTTAAAAAGATGAAATTGCCGTCTTTCAAAGGGGGAATAGAGCCAATGAAAGTTGAAGCCTGGGTGTTGGGAATAGAGAAGTTATTCGAAGTTTTCCCATGTACCGAAGCTCAAAAGGTGCAACTAGCTGCCTTCACTATTGAGGACGAGGCCCGGAGGTGGTGGATGCTTACGAGAACAATCCATCCAGGGTTAACATGGGACAGATTTCTGGAGCTGTTTTATGATAAATATTTCCCTCAAAGCATGCAGGATAAAAAGGTGACTGAATTCGAAACTCTCAGACAAGGGAACAAGACTATTGCTGAATATGAGGCCCAGTTTGCAGAGTTAGCCCGGTTTGCACCGCACATGGTGGACAAAGACTACAAGAAGGCACGAAAATTTGAAGGGGGATTACGGGGAGTAATTCTGGATCGAGTCAATATGTTGAAGTTACCTACCTATGTAGACGTACTGGAGAGGGCTGTTATAGCTGAGGGAAACCTTGCTGCTCAGAATCGGATCACCGAGTGGAAAGGAAAAAGGCTGAATAATCAATGGTCAAAGGGGCCAAGTATTCCACCAAACAAGAAACAAAATTTAGGGACTTCAAATACTTCTGCCCCTAGTCAAGGTATGATTCCTGCTTGTTCGGAATGTGGAAAGAGGCATCGTGGGACATGCCAATGGAAGTCTGGAGCCTGCTATCAGTGTGGCAAAACGAGTCATTTGATAAAGGATTGCCCTCAGAGGAATCAACGAAATGGCGATAAGGCTGCTACCAGTTCAACGGGGTCTGCACCAACTGCCAACACCAAGTCAGCTGCTAAATCTACTAACAATAAAGACACAGCGAGACAAGGCAGAGTGTTTGCATTGGTTCTAGGAGATGTGCAGAATGCAGCAACAGTAGTGTCAGGTACATTTATGGTTCACAGTCATTCTGCTTCTGTCTTATTTGACTCTGGCTCTACTCATTCCTCCATGTCAAAATTATTTGTACAAAATTTAGATAAAATTGAGGAAACAATGTCTTATATGTTATGTGTGTCTTCACCTATAGGAGACTCTGGGTTCGTTTGGTTTGTATTTCTGAAAAAATTTTGGGAAATTTTCTCTACAAATAAGTTTTTAAAAGTAATCAAACCAAACAAATTTTCCCAAAAAAATTTCTCAAAACTTGTAAACCAAACAAGTTTTCCAAACAAATCTCTCTCTCACACACATCAAATCAATCACTTTTTCCAAAACTCTCTCTCAAAATAATTTTCCAAAACATCTTTTGAAAAAAACCAAACCAAACAACTTTTCGTACTTTTTATCTCTAAAACACATCTCTCAAACACAAACCAAACATACCCTCTATGTTTTGCACTTCTGTCTATTTTGGTTGTGAACTCGAGCTTGGGAATGTCCGGGTATACGCCAATCTGTTACCTCTTGACATGACCTATTTTGATATTATTCTGGGAATGGACTGGTTGGGTGAATATGGTGCAACTATAGATTGTCTAACTAAACAAATCAGTTTCCACCCTCCGGGACAATTAGAGTCTACCTTACAGGGGCATGGCGTAATTTCTCCACCTTATTTGGTCTCGGCAGCGAAGGCTTGTAAATTAATTCAAAAAGGGTGTCAGGGGTATTTATGCAGTGTTTTGGAGGGACAGGTGACATGATCCCAATTGTGTGTGAATTTTTGGATGTCTTTCCTGAAGAATTGCCATGGCAGTTGATAGACCGTGAAATTGAGTTTACCATTGAAGTAGCGCCGGGAACCCAACCCATTTCGAAGACTCCGTATAGAATGTCGCCAGTTGAGATGAAGGAATTGAAAATGCAGTTGCAAGATTTATTGGACAAGGGATTCATCCGTCCGAGTGTGTCTCCGTGGGGTGCACCAGTACTGTTTGTAAAAAAAAATGATGGAACACTCCGGCTTTGTATCGATTACAGGGAACTTAATAAAGTCACAATCAAGAATAAGTATCCATTGCCGAGAATTAATGACCTATTTGATCAGCTGTAGGGGGCACAAGTCTTTTCCAAGATTGATCTACGGTCTGTATACCATCAATTAAAGGTCAAAGCTGATGATGTTGAGAAGACAGTTTTTCGAACCCGGTATGGTCATTATGAATTTTTGGTTATGCCCTTCAGAGTCACTAATGCACCAGCAGCTTTTATGGGTTTGATGAACCGTGTTTTCAAGCCCTATTTGGATGAATTTGTGGTGGTTTTTATTGATGATATTCTCATCTATTCGAAGAATGCAGATGCTCATGAGAATCATCTTCGTTTGATCCTTCAAACCCTCCGGGAAAAGAAATTGTATGCAAAGCTGAAGAAATGTGAATTATGGCTACTATAGGTGGCATTTCTGGGGCATATCATCACAAAGGAAGAAGTTTCTATTGACCCACACAAGATTGAGGCAATCATAAATTGGCCAACTCCTACTAATGTGGCTGAGGTGCGTAGTTTTATGGGGTTAACTGGTTATTACCGGAGATTTGTTCAAGATTTTTCTAAAATTGTTGTGCCACTTACACAACTGACTTGAAAGGGAGTTGCATTCAACTGGTCAGTAGAGCGAGAATCTGCTTTTCAGGAATTGAAGACAAGGTTGACAACAGCACCAGTTTTGGCCTTACCATTCGGTACAGAGGGATTTGTAATCTACAATGATGCTTCGCACAAAGGGCTTGGTTGTGTACTGATGCAAAATGGAAGAGTCATCGCTTATGCTTCTCGGCAGTTGAAACCCCACGAGAAGAATTATCCCACGCATGATCTTGAGCTGGCAGCAGTAGTTTTTGCTTTGAAGATATGGAGACACTATTTGTATGGCACCACTTGCGAAGTATATACTGACCACAAGAGTCTCAAGTACCTTTTCACTCAAAAAGAGTTGAATATGCGGCAGCGACGGTGGTTGGAACTTCTTAAAGATTATGATTTGCAGATTCATTATCATCTTGGTAAAGCCAACACAGTTGCAGATGCGCTCAGTCGGAAAAGTATGGGGACTTTGGCAAGTTTAGTTACAAGGCAAAAGGAATTAGCAATTGAATTGGATAACATGGAAGTAGACGTGGTGCTACATGGACAAGAAGCTTTAATGACAGCAGTGATGGCCCAACCAACCTTACTTGAGGAAATTAAATTGCATCAGATAGAAGATGAAGCTCTAAAGAAGATATGTGATGAGTTAGGAACAAAATCAAAACCGGGATTCAGTTTGGTAGACTCAGTGCTCAAATTTCAAAACCGAATATGTGTCTCCAATGTGTTAAACCTTAAGCAAAAGTTGATGGAAGACGCACATACCTCAAGGTTTTCAATGCATCCAGGGAGTACCAAAATGTACCGAGATTTGAAGCGAAATTTTTGGTGGCCAAGTATGAAGAAGGAGGTCGCGGAGTTTGTCTCTAAGTGTTTGCAATGCCAGCAAGTAAAAGCGGAGCATCAGAAACCTGCCGGTTTGTTGCAACCTCTTACCATCCCAGAGTGGAAATGGGAACATTTGACCATGGACTTTGTTGTGGGGTTACCACGGACTCCCCGAGGTATGAATTCAATATGGGTTATTGTAGACCGATTAACTAAATCTGCTCACTTCCTACCAATAAAGACTCAGTATAACGCGGACAAATTGGCGGCAATTTATGTGAATGAAATTGTGAGACTTCATGGTGTTCCGGTCTCAATTGTATCAGATAGGGATCCGAAGTTTGTTTCCAGATTCTGGCAAAGTTTACAAGAAGCAATGGGTACCGAATTAAAGTTCAGTACAGCTTTCCATCCCCAGACCGACAGTCAATCAGAGAGAACGATACAGACTCTAGAGGATATGCTCCGAATGTGTGTGCTAGATTTTCAAGAAAGTTGGGAAACCCACCTACCGTTGGTAGAATTTGCGTACAATAATAGCTACCATACGAGTATAGATATGGCACCCTATGAAGCTTTGTATGGAAGACCATGTCGTTCTCCCGTGTGTTGGGCTGAAGTTGGGGACAAATCCTTGTTAGGGGCTGAAATTGTTCAGTTGACAACTGAAAAAGTTCAAGTTATTCGGGAAAGATTGAAAACTGCTCAGAGTAGACAGAAAAGTTATGCGGATAACCGACGGAGGGATTTGAAATTTGAAGTGGATAGTCATGTCTTCGTGAAAGTTACTCCGATGAAAGGACACCCAAGATTCGGAAAGAGGGGTAAGTTAACACCCCGGTATATTGGTCCCTTTCAGATTCTGGAAAGAGTGGGTCCGGTAGCTTACCGAGTTGCCCTTCCGCCACATATAAGTCAAGTACATAATGTGTTTCATGTTTCTATGCTTCGCGGATACCTTCCGGATCCGTCACATGTCATTGATTACCACCAAATTGAGTTGGGGGACACGCTCATTTATGAGGAAAAACCAATCCGCATTTTGGACCGACAAGTGAAACACTTACGAAATCGAGAAATTCCAATGGTAAAAGTAGAATGGCAAGAACATTACGAAACTGACGCAACGTGGGAAAGAGAGGAGGAAATGCAACACCAATGCCCACATTTGTTTCAATCCTAAGGTAAAACTAGTTTGGAGGACCAAACTTATTTAAGGGGGAGAGAGTGTAGTAACCCGACCCTTGCACATGATTTATGTTATATTCTCGGTCCTCGATTGGTACTTGTAAATGCTTACTGTAAAATTCCATGAAAAATTATGATTAAGTAAGTGAAATTTATGTTAATGGATGCCTATCTGTTTCTTAAGAAAATTATCTGTCACCACTAAAACGTTTGAATTAGAAATTGGAAGCCTTAACGGTTTAATTACCTGAAATTGATAATATATTTGTGATCAGCATAATTTTTAAGTAATATTAAGTACGTTTACGAAATTTCAATTTTGGAATGATTAAACGATTAAATTTTGTCCTATATGTCATTATTTATGAATATATATACTTAAGTTCTCTTGAGCTTTGATAAAAAAAAAACGTGAAGCATCTTTTGGAGAGAATAAGGGTTTGAAAAGAAGAAGAAAAGAGAACAAAGACAAGGTACAACAAGGAAGAGAATTGGGATCAAGTTAGGAGAATCATTAAATTTTTCAAGCTTAAGGTATATTAAAAATTATTGTACACGAAACTTCTCCTTTTAATTGTGAAGAAGGGCTTGTTTATGGTTTATGTTTGGTGATTTAGGGTTATGGAGAATTGTTCATGATTTATGTTTGCTTGAAGAGGATACTCATCAATTGGTTGTTTTGACATGAAATTATGCCTCAATCTTTGTTTCTCATGTTAAACTCATGAAAATATATTTATATAATGTGTGATGTTTTAATAAACTTGAGGAACTTGAATTAAAGATGGAATTTAGAAGGTTTGTAACTTGAATAAGCTTCTCCTCATGTGTATTTTATGATGCTCAAGTTCTAGTACATGCTATGGTGAAATTTATACTTCAACCCTTGGTTTTATGCCATGTACCATGTGTTATGATTTATAAACATAAATAACTTAAGTTAAATGATGGAATTTGGAAAAAAAATAGTGACTTGATCAAGCTTTGAATCATGTTACTTTGTGATATTCAAATGGCAATTCATGTTATAGTGAAGTTGGGTCCATATATTGCATGAATTTCATAGTGAATTGCATGTAAAATGAAGTGGTGATGTGTAATTGTGAGTTGAAACCGAGCTGCCCCAAAACAGGGCCATGGCCGCTCAAGCGGAGGCCTTGGGTGCTCGAGCGGAGAAAGAAGAAAAACCTGGAGATGGCTACTGTCTACGGCCGCTCGAGCGGAGGGGTATGACCGCACGTGCGGTGCATGGCCGATCAAGCGGAGGGTCCAACCGTACGTGCGGCCCGGGCTGGAAACATGGTTCGCTTCGTTTTGCATGCTTGACTCACTAGTATTTTTAGAATATTTTTCTGATGATTTTAAGATAGTTGTACATTCATGCAAAGTGTAATGACTCCGGGAATGACTTAAGAAAGAGAAGGGAACTAATGTGCAAGTTTTAATGTGTGCAGGACACACTCCGGGAGGAAGTAACACGTCATCTCAACCCTGTGAGTAATAGTACGCTTTACTACAGATAATGATTGCCCTTAGCATTCTATTGATGATAATTATGCACATGTTCTTAATGTTAATGCGTGAATGTTCTTAATGTTAATGTATGAATGTTCTTAATATTAATGCATGATGATAAGAAGGTGAACATTTTGCCTACTCTCATAAGTTTCAAGCATGTTTCAAGGGCCTCGTGCCATATGTTTCAAGGGCCTAGTGCCATATGTTTCAAGGGCCTTTTGCCATATGTTTCAAGCATGTTTCAAGGGTCTCGTGCCACATGTTTTAAGGGCCTCGTGCCATCACGTTTCAAGGACTTATAGCCACATGCTTATGTTGCAGGATTGGGCATAAGGCCATTATGTACTTAACACAGAATCAGACTCACCGTGTGAACTCTGCATCTTATTATGTATTGATGTATTTCATGTTTCAAGTTAAACATCATTTATTATGTATTACTATTTACTGAGCCTAGCTCACTCTCTATTATGTCTGTTTCTGTAGGTCATCAATCCGGAGGTCAGTCTTAGCCTTGATGTCGTCTTCTTTTGTCAACCTTTACGTGTTCAGGCACTATACAAAGCCATTCATTTTGTGAAGTTGTTATGATGTTGGCTTGCTATTTAAGCGTCCATCTAAGGTTGATGTACATAACTTCATGTTTTCTTTGTATACGCCCAATCATGGGGCTGGAACTGTAAATGTATGCGGATATAACCGATGTCCAGGGATATAGTTTTAAACTTTGTCTGCCTTTGATGGTGTATGTGATATATGAGATCCTGGAATATTAGAAATAGCTCAATGGAGTAGTTTGTATCTATATTATGTTTGTATTTTATGCTTCCGATAAGGCCCCGTAGGTTATGTATACCAGGTTATACGTCCGTTTCTGAATAAGTCATGCCCAAACTTTTAGGGGCAGGTTTGGGGTGTGACATTTGAAGTGTCACATTAATGTCGGTCACAGTGGAGTATCACATCATACCTGTCACATTAATAAAATGATATAGTTATTCACCAAAATATGACTAAATCAAAAAATAAAACCACACAAAAAAAAATTATCCACTAATAAGACTTAACATATTAATTAAAAAAAAAATTAAGACTAATTAAATAATTATTTGTGAGATGAGATTTATTAATAAATATGAATAAATTAAGCTACTCCAAATATTAAAAAAATATGCACTAGCCTGTAAAAATTCTCTCTGTCTGAGCTGTTCATCACATCATATACCTTCTCTCCCGAAAACCATCTCTCCGACGACCCGGCGACAACTTCTCAGGCGACTTTACGATTAATGCTGTGTTTGGTTGGGGGATTTGGTGAGGGATTTGTAAAGGGAAATGGAAAAGGTAGGTGAAATGTGAATAAAATATGTATATATTTCACATAGTTTCACACACCTTTTCCCTTTCCATTTCCAAATCCCTTCCCAAATCCCCTAACCAAACACACCATAAATCTGCAATGTGTTCAAGTTGTACTCTTCTCTTGGTGAGTCTAATCTCTGTCTTTCACCTGGGCTGTGTTTGGTACAAAGTTAGGCTCCGTTTGTTTTTAGACATAAAATGGAAGGGATTGATAGTAAGAGGATTAATAGTGAAGAAACTGTTAGTGAAGTAAAATTGTATTTGTTTTGATGATATAGTTGTTAGTGTAAAGATTGTTAAATTATTTTTATATAAAATAAATATAAAATAATAAAACAAATACAAAAATACAAAAACATTAAACATTAATGTTTTAAAAAAAATGCCCAACATGTAAAAAAAATTTAAAAAATTAAAATAAAATAAAAAATTCAAAAAAAATAAAATAAATAAAATAATGATTTTTACTTAACAAAAAATACAAAAAGTTAAACATTAATGTTCAAAAAAAAATGCCCGACATATAAAAAATAAATAAAAATAAAAATTTTCTAGTCCGTCCGAATATTTTTCTAATATCAAGTCCTGGAGGCCCATCTGAATCCCTTTGGGGAGGCCTATCTCAATCCGGAGCTTACTATTAATCTCCTATCCATCTCTCAAAACAAACATAATATTAATGGGTCCCACTCACTATCAATTTCAATCCTTCCTCCAACTCTCCAAACAAAGGGACCATAGTGTACTAATTGTTGATTTCAAAAACTCCTTTCTTTTACTGCATCATCTATGTTCCTTCTCCATTCTGGGGTTTCATTTTCTTATGGCTACAAATTTAGGGTTTCAAATACATTGTATCAATATCTACATAAATATATCTAATTCTAAATACAAATACTCCCTGTTTTAATGTTTTGTGTGTGTGTATATATATATATATATATAGAGAGAGAGAGAGAGATTCGTATCCATTTAAACTTGTCTACCTGTAACCCATTGCCTAAAAGTGTTACTTTTGAGCTTTGAAAATGATTTCATAGGCCCACATACTCATCATATAAGCCCAATTTGGGTCCCATTTGTTTCAATTCAAAATGCATTCCTGATGTGTATAAAATAGTTTGCTTCTTTACATAAAAAATTTCTAGTCCGTCCGAATATTTTTCTAATATCAAGTCCTAGAGGCCCATCTGAATCCCTTTGGAGAGGCCTATCCCAATCCGGAGCTTACTATTAATCTCCTATCCATCTCTCAAAACAAACATAATATTAATGGGTCACACCTCACTATCAATTTCAATCCTTCCTCCAACTCTCCAAACAAACGGACCATAGTGTACTAATTGTTGATTTCAAAAACTCCTTTCTTTGACTGCATCAGCTATGTTCCTTCTTCATTCTGGGGTTTCATTTTCTTATCGCTACAAATTTAGGGTTTCAAATACATTGTATCAATATCTACATAAATATATCTAATTCTAAATACAAATACTCCCTGTTTTAATGTTTTGTGTGTGTGTATATATATATATATATATAGAGAGAGAGAGAGAGATTCGTATCCATTTAAACTTGTCTACCTGTAACCCATTGCCTAAAAGTGTTACTTTTGAGCTTTGAAAATGATTTCATAGGCCCACATACTCATCATATAAGCCCAATTTGGGTCCCATTTGTTTCAATTCAAAATGCATTCCTGATGTGTATAAAATAGCTTGCTTCTTTACATATGAAAGTTTGGGGCAAATTACCAACACCGTGTTTAACTAAAATACAGATTATTCTAGATTTGAAAAATTACATTCCGCCTTTGAGTTTTATATTTTTATAATAAATTGTCTCCTGAACTTTATATTTACATAACAAATTGTTTCATTTATTATGCAAATATAAATCTCAGGAGTAATTTCTAATTTTCCAAACTTCAAGAAAAATTTGTATTTTAATCAAATCTCGAGAGGGGTGTTTTTAATTTTCCCTAAAGTTTTATATCTTTATCATTAGTTTATTATGATGGTCCAGGTTTGAATTACCTTTAATTCAATTCAATCTCTCATTTTTCTATTTTTTGTTGCTCACATCCCAATTCCCCCTCCCCGCCATTTTCATCATTCAACTGCATAAAAATCTCCCCCATTTTTTCTTTATCATCAAATCAAATGTATCATTTTGGACCATTCTAGGTATTTCCCATGGTTTCTATTCAACGTCGGCTTCTTGAATTTTTAGGGCCTTGAATGTCTTTTCAGGTACCAAACTCTGAATTGTTGCATTCCACTTCCTGAATCTACATGTTTGCTTATGCTTTTGCCTTTTGAAACTAGGATATTTTCAACTAGTGTTACCTCATAATAGTGAAAATATGGTTCAATTAGATTCATTTGGAATCTGAGTTGACTTTTTAATTTTTCGATTTTTTGACTATTTTAACCTGTGGCTAAAAAGTTTTGTTTGGATAGATTTTTTGGCTTTTTTTTTTTTAATTTTCATGAGAAAAAAAATAAAATGATTATGATTTGAATGTAATATTTTTTAACTTGAAACTAAAAAGCGTATTTTGTATTTTTTTTTACCTATTTTAGCGCTAACACGCCCAACCCATCTTCCCAAACGATGACTCAATTCATCAGTATTGGAGGTGTCATTATCCCATTCTTCTTTAGAATTATTTGGTCTTGAAAACCTTTGGAATTCCAACTTAGTTGCCTACTTTGACTCGAGAGATTTGGTAAGAGATTTAAAAAGAGAAAGAGAAAAGGTAAGTGAAATAAAAATAAAATATATTTACATTTCACTTAATTTTACACACTTTTTTCGTTTTCATTTCCAAATCTCTCATCAAATCTCCCAACCAAACACACTATAATTGTTTCTGGAAAACTGAGGTTCAATAACTCACTCTGCAATGCACTGTTAATATGCAGACAGAAGAGGCCATCGCTGTTTACATGTCTGTTCATTTGCATCTCTAGAAATATTCAGAAGATATGCTTGGGAAAGAGAGAATGCTCATTCATTCATCTTTCCAACTCTTTATCTCTGTTGGATTCTTACTCTTCTGGGCTGTCATCTCGCAAATTCCCTTGGGTTCGAAACTTTCAGTTGTAGAAAACAACCAGTGGACCTCCTCCAATGGGAATTTTGCCATTGGATTCTTTCACCGTTCGGATCAGTATAGTGTTGGGATCCGTTTCTATTCAAATTCTGTTCCAATTGGTAAACAAATGGTGGTTTGGGTTGCCGGAGCTGAACTTACAGTGGGCAACAAGTCTTACCTCCAGCTGACCCAAAATGGAGAACTGGTTTTGTTTGATTCCATAAGAGGAGTCGTTGCTTGGACAAGTGAAACTACCAATTCATCGGTTGCTTCAGCATTTCTTCTTGACAGTGGCAATCTTGTTCTTCTCAACACAAACAGAGAGATTGTTTGGCAAAGCTTTGACACCCCAACAGACACACTCCTCCCAGGGCAGAATTTCTCTGTTGCCAAAATGCTTCGTGCTGCTAGCAGGAATTCTGTGTCAAGTTACTACAGTCTTCATGTTGAAGGTCGGTTGCTACTCCGGTGGGAAAATAACATTGTATACTGGACCAGTGGAAGCCCTTCTCAATCAATCCTCCGAGCTATTCTCAGCTCTGATGGAACCCTGCAACTTCTTGATCAAAGATCCAAAGTGGTTTGGTCTGTGTTTGGAGAAGATCACAATGATTCAGATGTGAAACTCCGGTTTCTGAGGCTAGATGTCGATGGAAATCTTCGGCTGTACTCTTGGCATGATGTTTCAAGGTTATGGAGACCGGTTTGGCAAGCTGTTGAGAATCAGTGCAACGTCTTTGCAACCTGTGGCCTCTGTGGCATCTGCATCTTCAATGCATCAGGCTCCTCTGTTTGCAGATGCCCATTTTCATCTACAATGGAGTCTAACTTGGAATGTTTGGTTCCATATGGGCAGGACTGTATGTCTGGTTCCTTCATGACTACATACGAGCACACCTCCCTGCATGGGGTTTACCCACCAACTGAAACAATCACACGAGCAAGTTTGCATCAATGTAAGCGTTTGTGCCAAGAAGACCCTCGTTGTACTGCTGTGACCTTCACCAATGATGGGACTGCACAATGCCGAATTATGAGAACTCGATACACTACTGGTCAATCAGACCCATCTTTAAGTTCAATAGCTTTTGTCAAGAGGTGCTCCGATCCAATTGCCGCTTTACCCATATCCCCTGCATCTTCATTTGTGTCATCCTCATCATCATCATCATCATCATCCCCACGTGATACTTCACTGAAACGGTTGAATAGGCTTTGCTTTCCTTGTCTAATTGGAGTGGCATCAGTCACATTTGTAGTGTTTATCCTAATTCAGATTGGGATTGGCTTCTGCATCTACAAGAGATGGAACTATATCAAGAGGAAAGCTGCTTTAGCTTACACCGGCCCTAACTCAAAAGGTTTGATCACATTAACCTTCTCTGAAATCAAAGACGTTACAGGAAATTTTAAGCACCAAATTGGACCAAAGATGTTTAAAGGAATGCTTCCAAAAAACCAGCCAGTTGCAGTCAAAAACCTGAAAGGAGCTACTATGGAAGGAAGGAAGTTCCGAAGCACTGTTGTAAAAATAGGAAGCATTTATCACAAAAACCTTGTGCAGCTGGAGGGTTACTGTTGTGAGTCAGATCATAGATTTTTAGTTTACGAGTTTGCCAAGTATGGCTCACTGGGAAGATGCATAGAAAACCCTAAGTTGTGCAAGAGGCTGACATGGCGAAAGAGAATAGAGATCTGTTTAACAGTGGCAAGGTCCATTTCGTACTTGCACACGGGATGCAGGGAGTTTGTAAGTCACGGAAATCTAAAATGCGAGAATGTGGTTTTCGATGAAAACTTCAAAGCCAAAGTGAGTGAATTTGGGTTAGGGAGAGTTCATGATGACCGTGGGGGAGCGGCAGAGGAGGATGTAAAAGATTTTGGCAAGTTGGTGGTGAAATTGCTGAGTGCACGGCAAGAAGCTGACGATGTGTGCGAATGGGCTTATGAGAATTGGGTAAATGGACAGGCTGAGAAGGTAGTTGATGCAAGAATAGAGGATGGGGTGAATTCAGAAGAGTTGGAGCGGGTGTTGAGAATTGCTTTTTGGTGTTTGCAAGTAGAGGGGCAAATGAGGCCTTCAATGGGTGAGGTCATTAAGGTGTTAGAAGGAACCTTGACAGTTGATCCCCCACCACCTTTCATTTGCCAGCATCCTCAAGATTAGGAAGAGGAGTCATCAGAATCTGAACTAGAGCCTTAGAACCCTAAATCAAATATGAATATTGATTTAATTTGCTGGTTTTTCTCTCTTCATTGTATAGTGAAGCTAACTGAACTGATGCAATAGTTATGTATTTTTATTTTCCACCCATACTCTTTGAGATGGGCATGCCATTTTTTTCACCCCAACAAAATTTTTGGGTGTTTTTAGCCATTGCCAAGGAATGAATGAATTGTTTTGAAGTGTTCTTTCTGAAGCAGTGATATGTGTTGTAGTGTGTGTGTGTGTGTGTGGACGTCATGATATTTCCCCTAATAATAAATAATACTGCTGTTAGTATTTTTGGCTTTTAGTTTTTAAGATAATAAGACATGCTTGCTTACTTCTTAATGGATACTCATCCTCTCCATTAGATAGTTTTAACGTAGATCTCCATCAATAAATATAAAATAATTATATTATTGTAACTTGACTTTCCGCCCTCCTTTAGGAAGGTGAATAGCATTATAGTTTGGACTCTACTTGTGGTTTTGAATCTGATTTCACAAATGCAATGTGAAACAGTAAAAACACAAAAAAAAAGTCTAAATCCGGCAATTCTTTTTTAAAAAATCAATATTTGAATCAAATATCAAAAATGGATTGCTTTGCCAAATTTCAGAATCACCGCCTAAATATTATTGAAAAATTTAGGAAACCCGAGACTCGTGCCAAAGGTCATTAGTCTGTCATCACCAAAGTGTCTCGACTCGGGAACTTACGTACAAGAGGAAAATGTCATGAATTGAGCATCCCACTCTCCCAATCAAAGATCGGCCTCTACTAATCATAATATGTTTCTTATTTATATTTTATGATCTTGTTCCGATTTATTAGACTATTATTAGATTACTATGTGTTGTACACAAGTATAGACTAATTTGCAAGAATTGGAACACTTGATCTCATACTTTGTTTCGAAATTGTTTTGTGAATTTGTCACTTGAAAAAGTGGGCTAAAATAGACATTAATCAAACCATCACAATTCAAGCAACTTGCCTTCAGGCATTCAAGCATTTAATCATTTAAGCACTTAGCCTCATGGCAAGCATGTTAGACATGGCAATACTCACACTCATGCGATATACTAAAGCGAGTAAAGGCTCACCTACTCCAAGCCAAACAACAAGAAGCTAATTAAAAAACATGCATGTCCCTAATCAATGCACCATTACTAATGTAATACATGCGATATGCAACTAATAGGCTCGGCTACTAATTTATGACATGTGAATCAATTTGCTAACATGCAGTCTAAGCACGTATTCAAAGAATTATTTAAATGACAATGCAAGTTTGAATGATGAATCGAGTCTCGATACATGCAATACAGGTGGATGCAAGGCACAAGAATACTAATGAAACGTGATGCTTTATACTAACCATCGTAAGCGAATAAATAAAAGAGAGAAAGACGTGGGATTAGAAGACATACACATTATTACAACGTTTGATCCCTCACGCAGGAAGGTGTGAATCAATGTCCAAAAGTTTGAATTAAACTAACTATTACAAAACCGAATGAATGAATAAATATGCTAAGCTAATTAGGCTATCTATGCTATTACAACGGATAACCAAGATTATTACAACAATTACAAATAGACAATAATGAATAATTACAACACTTAACAATTAACGAGACTAATTACACTAAACAACGTTAAATTAATTAATTATAATAATCATAATATAACCGATGATGTGCAATAATTGCATACATGTACATGCACAATGTTCAAGAACAACCATGTCTGTCCCAAGCTTGCTCTGTTTCACCTCAACCACTGCCCTCTGTTTTCTGCAAAAATAAACTGCTGACCAAACTTTAAGGGTCGGTCGGGCGGCCCTCAATAAAGCCTGGCCGAGCATAGAGAAGGCCGATCGTGCCTCAGTTTTGTGCAAAACTCCGTTTTGTGTTCTGAAGTGAAAAACAGTGCAGACAGAGTTGTTCAAGCTCTGTTTGTCCCTTTCTTCCTTCTGTGTCATGGGAAAGCATTGAGAGAAGGTTGAAATTGATTCCAAAGCTATCAATAAGCAAATTGATTGCTTGATGATTTTGGATATAATTTTGGACAAAAATCAATGAAATACAATGAATATGGCCACCCCTCCATCTTGTCATGGAGTAAACTCAAAGAGGGTGGTAGAGATGCTTCAAGAATTATCAAAACGCCATGAATTAGTGCATGATCACTATTGACTCGATAAATTTGGCATAACATCTGGCTAAGTCTAAGCAATTTAAGCCATTTTCTTTATGTTCGTTGATCCAATTTTAAACCAATTTGTTTAGCCATTGCAATTCATTAGTCCATTTGTCCATGGTGATGTTAAAGTCTGCTAAACAACAAGTAACGTCAAATGAGAGGTTTTTCTAAAACATGAGAGAGACTATACCGTTGACAATGAATCTTCGAAATGATTAAGCCATTAAGCAGAAGTCTTTCTTACATGTTTTGAGCAACCTCAATCGGTTGAAATCATTCTCAAGAATGAAAGAGATAGATAGTCAAATGATTGAGACTCTTAACATGAAAAGTAAGTAAAAGAAAGTTTGAAACAACATGCAACAAGTTATGTATGCCAATTCATGAGACAACAAAGGAACTAACCAAAGCTTGAACCAATTTAAAAGGCTAGGACAGCCCTAAAACAACCCTTAATAAATGAAAAACAGAGGCTTAAAGCTCACCCAAAAAAAAAAAAAATGTTTAAAGCCCACAAAAGGATACTAAAAGAAGCTAATCAACAAAAGAGGAAACAAGGCTAGTAAACAAGAACAAGGAGGGGTGGCTAACACCTCCATTTTTGAAACCCCAAAAACATGATTTTAGCCCTTTTTTAACTCTGAAAATCAGTGTAAAGAACAAAGGAAAAGAGTGAAAAAGTAAGGGTTTGAGCTATAGGTAAAAATGTGGAAAGAGCAAACTCTCTCTACTCTTTTGATAGCTCTCCAAACCCAAACTTAAACACTTAAAATAGGATCAAAACAACACAAAATGATAAGAACTAGATAGCAAATTAAAGAGTTGAAAGCAAGAGGGAAGAACAAGCTTACACCTCTCAAAGAAGTTAACTCTTGCTTGTGATCCAAACTAAGTATCAACACACCCTCAAGCTTGAATTAGGCTTCTCAAAGATCAACCATGGCTCTAAGATGGCGAGACAAGGTTGTGTATGGTGTATGGAGATGACACGAGGGAGGTAGGTTAACTCAAAGGTTGCTTACCATAGAAGAAGGAAGAATGAGGAGCTCTCAAGGTGTATATAAGCTCTTTAGAATTTTTTTTTTTCCAACCTCCAAAACAGAGGCAGGACCTCGTTTTTATAGAGTTTGAGCTCAGAAGATGATAAATATCTACAAAATGAACAGCTGCACGGTCTCCTATGCAGCACAGTGTTTCTAGCCACCAAGGCTCGACCGGCCATTCATAACCATGACCGGCCTTCACTGAGGCACGGCTGAGCATGCATGGCCTCCCTTGTTTTTTATTCTAACTCAGCTCAAGGTGGCAAAAGGTCTAAAAATGAGACTCAAAGATTCAAATAAGGTAAATGGTAACGATTTGAGGTTATTTCGAGAGCCTAATTGAATCCAAATTGCTGTGAATTCAAAACACACAATTCAACTTTCATCATCGAGTGTATCGAATTAAGTGCCTAAGTCTTGTGGGTGGTCAAAATGGGTTGTCTACAGAGAACTTGATCTTTTAAATGAAGTTGATCTTTTAAATGAATACTCTAAGAATTCGCAAGACAAAGAACTGTTAGTATCTTGTATGAACTTTTCTAGACTGGCACTCCAAAAAAGTCAATGACTTTCTGTAACGCCCTCAAAAAAATAACATTAAACTAACCACATTCCTTTATTTCATTGAGTTTCATTACATAAGTATTACATGTTAACATCAAAACAAAATGCCCTACGGGCTTACAGCTTTCCAAGTTAACACTTGGTTTCAACAAAAGAGTACTAAATGAAGTTGATCTTTTAAATGAATACGCTAAGAATTCGCAAGACAGAGAACTGTTAGTATCTTGTATGAACTTTTCCAGACTGGCACTCCAAAAAAGTCAATGACTTTCTCTCTCTAAAACTAGAGAATATTTAGGGTTAGTTTGGCATAAACTAAATAATACAAAAAGTCAAAAAGTCACTATCATATTTAAGTCACATCATCTTATTTAAACCACATCACCTCTCTAACACATCACATCAAACCCAACTCAAACCCAACCCATATAAGCCAATAAGTTAAAAAGTGCACTTTTTTATAACATTCCAAACCAACCCTTAATAGCACAAATACTTAAAACTATAATCTATTACTAGAACATGCATAATGAGTACCTCAATCCATAGGGATGTGCTCTTTATATCGAAATATCCTGCCTCATCTAGAATTGTACTTGCCTAGCAAGTATTCGAATTACTCTTCCTAATTTGGTTGGTTTTGATCTCCTCAATAGTCTCATTTTTACCCAACTTAAGAGTTATATCCTATTGGGATTCCATCACTTAGGAGTCATACTTTAAGTAGAGTTTGACCAATGTTACAACTTTAACCAGTGTTATCTTGTCACATGGCACCTTGTGGGTTCCACTCAAAAATATGTCCCTACAATCATAAAAATATACTAACATTAATTCAAAAATAAAAGTTTGGGCAAATTAGGATGGTATTCCCTGTATTTTGATCATTGTGTTATTTTAGTCTCTGTAATTTCAATTGCCTCGATTTTTATCCTAAATTTATAATTTTATCTCAATTTAGCCCAATTGATTACAACTATTAGCATTTCGTTATAGAAAATACGCACATAAGTGTCATGTGCCATATTTTTAAAAGAAAAATTATAAACTTACTAATCTCAATCAGTTAATCTCAACTAATTTAGTGATAATTTTTTTTTAAAAAAAAACACTAATCATATTATTAATTGGACCAAATTGATACAAAATTTAAAATTAAGAGTCAAAATTAAAATTAAAGATGTAAGGATCAAAATAACACAAAAGGTAAAGTATAGAGATCACCAGTGTAATTTGCCCTAAAAGGTTTTATGATTGTTGACATGTGACAAACAAATATTCATTTAGTGCACTCATTTAGTTTGGACTAAAATGTTGTATTTAAATTTTGAATTGAGTGGGAACTTATAGAAAAACACAAAAATAAACAAAACAAATAAAGAACTAAAG